AAAACTGAAAATACTACCCTTACATTCGACTCAATACTACCCTTACATTCGACTACAATTTACCAATAGTTTCTTTAAAGGGTAGAGGACGTTTCTAACGAAATATTATACTACATTCAACCACTGGCCGCGAAATGTGCAAGAAGTCATGAAGCATGACCTCCCTTGAATGGGGCAAAAGGTATAAATTCACAACTAAGATGTGACCTAGCGCTGTAGAGTATCGAACAATTTTTTGGAAGTGCCTAACAGGTCTCCTTAGAAATAGAGATGAATAATTCATGGTAACGATCTAATCAAGCCAGCGAATCGCTTCATTCCTACTACTTTGTTTTGGACACATGTAAAATAGGGTTGAAGAAAAGCTAATAAGTAACTACTTACCATGCTTCCCATGTCGTGGGAGTACGAATTCCGATGGTGAAAGTTCAGAGCCAACGTTGTGGCAACAACACAGCAAGCACATGTGCACATACACAATGCAAAAAACGCCCCTGAAGTGGTGGATATTGGTGTGAGACAAATAGTAAATATTTTGTTAAAGAAGAAAGTTCACGATTCCTGCGCAGACATCCTTCTCTGGAACGCAAGGTTACCCGACAGGAGGTCCGTTGCGCGGCGAGAAGGCAGAGACGCAGACTGGTCAGCGGACGAGTCGCAGCGCGTACTGCAGTGATTTCGCGTCAAGTTAAATAGAATGTTCTGTAGTACGTCCCACATCACACAGCACGCGCTGCGACTCGTCCGCCGACCTGCTGCGTCTCTGCCTTCTCGCCGCACGACAGGCCTCCTGTTCGGTACGTGGAATAGAATGAATAGCGGGAGATCTTATATAAATGACTAATGGTTAATGCGCCATGACGAAGTGATGAATTTTCGGTGTAATTTTCGATATCGATGGATCGAAATCGATCGAAATTAATTTTGGGTTGTCCAGAAAAGCCTGCGATACTTTGACCAACCTTCGCTGAGAATCGCAAATCTTTTCAGGCCTTGCCACTTGATTGCTGTTGCGCGCCTTCAAGCACCTACTAGGAGCGCGCAAAAAGGCTTCATGTTAAATTTTGCAGCTTCAGGTTTCCTCTCAAAATCAAGCCTCCTTTGACCTGCTCTGTGTTAGAAATTCCCAAAAGGCCATTATGTCTGAGTCCTTGCAGCGCCTCTGCGCTGCATTCAGACGGAAATATGTGGAGCGATCACAGCGTGCCATTGATTCCAGAGCTTCGCAACTGGAAATACTTCTTACGAAAGAAGGCAATGTTTCGGTCTGCTGTAAGTAAGGGACGGTTAGCGTCTGAATTCTCAAGAACCACAGCTGAATGCTACTAGTCGTGGATGGCGATAACGCTAGGCTACACTCTCCCAACAGCTACCGAGAATTCCTACGATCCCGGTTACGGGGCAGTATGCCCGCAATGGGTACCGCATAGCTTTGACAAGGATCGAATGAGAGTCTTCTCTTCCGTATTCGTATCAGAGCAAATTGGCAAAAATAGTGACTTGCGAGGGTATTTGGGGCCTTATTTGAACATACACATGAGAAACCCGGGATTAAATAAGCAGGAAATTCGCCTGCAGGGATTAAAACAGAGATTCGTGGAAGAGGGCTCCAGTGCTTTAATGGGTTGAAAAATGATCTCCACAGGAAGCTGCTGGTACCTGCACTATAGTGATGGCCATTGTCGACTCTACCCATATTCAAAATAGCCCGATACCATGCCCAGAATACGCTTCAGAAATGCACAATGTCTCCCTACCCTATGAGCACGCATAAATGCAGGTTGAGAAAATCATGCATATTAGAGGATCATAGATCACTGCAGTGCTAAGCTTACGTGCCAAATTTAGTGGCTTCCAATAATCACGTATTTAATCTAGAGCATTAAAGCGTAATCTAAACAAAAAATCTCTTTATCGACGTCGTCTCGATAATGAGACTAATCCCTTCTTTTCGTGGTAACTGCCGGAGAAATCTTTGCTTTACGATTTTTTGATCATTACGGTGCTTAGGTTTGGTTTTCCTTTTGGTTTTTTTTCTGAAGCTTTATTACACAGAAACTAGCTCACATTCAGCTGCGAAACGCAGTATGACGCTTACTTTCAACAGCGTGGCTACTTTATCAGTGGGGGATATCCCACTTTCTCATAATTACTGCCTTCAAATTTAGATACAAGACCACTGTGCATAACAGCGTTATACAGCCTGTGACGCGTAAGATACATGTTATCATTATTAATAACAGGGAGGAAATCTCAAAATGATAAGATGACGGTGAAATTGCTTTAGCATACCTAAAAATGGAAGGTGCCTTCCGATGTAGGCGGAGACATTTCGGCGACATAATTTTGAAATATGCAGATGGACAGCATGATTGTGATTTTAACTGGGACTACAAATACTTAGCAGATTTACATGCTAGTTGTGAATATTTACTACCAAAGTGCGAAATCTTTCAATAAAAACAAGATCTCCTAGCGTACTTGTATGCCATTTGTATTTACCAGATCGGTCCCCCGTCAACCGAGGACTTCCTTTCCTGCGTCAGCTTAAACGTATCACTTTCCCCTACAGTACGGCATCGGCCGAAAAACACACACACCACACACAGGAATGACATATCCATACCCAAGGCATCTAGGCTTGGATCAATACGGTTTAGCCTCCTCCCCCCATCCCTTGCTCTCACCTTGGCCGCCGCTGGCCCTCCAGCTGTCACTGCTTCACCACACCGGAATACCGGGAGCTTTGCTCACCTGGTCTTTATTAGGCCGTAAGGTGAGATCGCAATTACACACACTCTACACAACATTGATAGCTTCAAGTCCTGCGAAGATACAACGATCTGTAGTGGTTGTTCATTCATTACTGACACATATTACCATCATCTCACACACTCACATACTATCTCGACCACGGCACAGACAGACATGCATACATACATACAGACGTACAAACCGACACACCAAGTTAGGGTTTATAAAATAGAAAGATTTCAACAAATTTATTCAAGGCTTTCCACATTACACTTTCCACGCCATAAGACTCCCCTCAGTATGTGGTGCGGTACTAAAGAAAACATTTCTTTTCGAAAAAGTATTGATATGAATGATGTGAAAGGTACGGTATGGGTGGTTATCCCGCGCAACAGCTGCGCGAATTCGTTGCTCACCGGGTGATAGAAAACTTGTTGAAGTCACCTGCTGTTGCCAGTTGCGCCCTCTCTAGTCTCTTACTCCGTGCCACAATGGAATTCTTGGCCTCACACCGTGTGGCTCATTCACCCGATGAGGTTACTTCTACTTCAAACCAACGCATGTATGGCGTGTTTCATTCACCATAATGACACAGCGTGACGCGCGATTTTTACGCGGACCAGGTTCGTTTTCTTCGATTTATTTACATTTTTTGTATTATCAAAACTGCCTTGCCATAATAGTTTACGTTATTCACAATATAGTGCACCATTTACTAAAATAAACAAAGTGGTGCAGAGTTATATTACAACGGGCTCTGGTCAATGTGATAAAGGAATCGTGTACGAAAAAATGTTGTTTCTATCTCATCCATAAACCACTGGCTTAAGACCTGACATTCATGTAACGAAAAGAACCAAAGAGTGTGTTTGATCTCGAAAACAATTTGAATCCCAAAGGACGGTCAGCAACACGCCGTTCGATTCCACTGTACGCTGGCCCCGAATGTGGCGAACACGCATAGACAAGCCAGCTTGGCCCTAAGCGAGCGTCAAGTCGATCTCTTCTCCACATATGACAGACAGCTCTATACACATCACATGCAACTACACACTACTGTCAAATTCATTCCTGACCAACCACACTTCTCACATAATTCTTAAAGGAGGATTGCACGGAAAGAACGAAGGTCGAAGAAGGGAGAAATCGCCTAGTGGGGAGAGCGGTGAATCTCTTGAGGGTGCGGACAGACACGCAATCGGCATCGAAAGATTTGACCTCTGAGATCTAGCATGGCTCAAAGTTGGCGAGTTCGGCGATCTCCGCCCACCGATCGTCTGATCACTCGCCGTAGTACAATAGGTGGCGAGTGATTAGATAGCTGAGAGAGCGTAGGGTTGAAGAGGGCAAAGCGATGAGAGTCCCATCAATGCTCAAATCAACGGACAAGGAAGGGGTCCCATTTCTCCGGTTCTGGGCCGTTTTTCGTGGTTTCGCTTTCTTTCTGGTACTACTCACCATCTCTACCTCAATTTGGAATGGGTTGCTTTTCCATCGTAAATTCGTCCACATCTATACCACTCAACGAACATCAACATCAAGATATGCCTGATACACGGCCTTCTTAAGGCCCACTCCTTCACATTCCCCTGTGTCCGTTTAGATTGAGCCGTGCAGAAGACAGTCCACTATGGAGTTTTCCTATAAACTGGAATGTGCTCTTCAATTTCCAGTTGGAAGGGTTTAGAAGAGTTTATTTGAATCTAGCAAATTATAATAAATTCATTAAATGTGAAGATAAAACGATTTCTTCGCTGGTCCCGCCCCCCCCCCCCCTGGAAGGCGGTAAACAGTGGACTCACGCAATGACATCTTCTCTCCTGCATCGGGAGGTAGTGTGAAGCCGATCAAGGTGAGCATAGTAATCAGAATACAAGGTAGAATAAGGTTGAATGCTAAAATCGGATTTGTGGAAAGTTGAGCAGTAAAAAGTAGAAGTCTCACCTACCGTAATAAAGCACTCTTCTGCGGATGACAAATGTAAAAACAACATCGTAGTAGGGTTCCGGGCAACACTGATAACGTTGAATGTTTTGAACAGCAGACGTCGCTAAAATGGTCCCATATTCATCAAATGGTCCCATATTCATCAGCAACAGGTTCTTAGTAAGTGAATGTTTCTATTATCCGCCCTACATCATGTTGTTTCGTCTTGGTCAGTCATTGAGGTCTCACCTACCGTAATAAAAAGAGGTCTCACCTACCGTAATAAAGCACTCTTCTATAGATGTTAATATAGATTAGCATAGGTGATTACGAGGGTAGTTTGAAGTAATACGGACTGAGCCCGGTTTCCGGATCAAGTAAAGGAGTAAAGAAACTCCCGCATAAAGATTTCGCGTGGCAATACATATGTAGATAAGCTGATCCTGGCTCAGTGAATCTCTTGTCCACAACAGTACTTGTTCAGAAACTATCAAAATAAGTAAAAAGCCTATGAAATGATCTATGAGCCATTTTGAGAACGGTACTGGTTAAGCCAGCTATGAGGTAATAGAGATTTATTAGATACTTACCTGTTAGCTCCCATTCACCATTTTGAATGTAACTGGAAAGATCGAAGCCATTTTCGTCCACGTCCAGATTAAGCTTCGAACCGTCAAACGTCCATGACCCGAACTAAAAGGCAAGTAGCACGATAAATTGTGCGTCAAAGAAAGGGGGAGAGAGAAGAGGGCTTACGAAAAAAAAATCTTGCGCTTCCTGTGAAGCAAATGTGGCCCTTCAACGGGTTGCGAACTCACAACGAATTGCTGCGTCCTCCTCTTCCCTTTCGATGCGCCGTCTTACTGCCGCTTACCGACTGGCCATCTTAGTTGCTGGCTCTCGCCTCCGGCCCTAGCCGCTCTAGCAGAGAGGCAGGTTGGAGCATTCGCTCCCTAGCTCTAGCTTGAGCGGGGATGGCGAGAAACCAGCAACCAGGATAGCCAGTCAGTAAGCGGGTACTGAGAAGAAGCAGCAAAAGTGAAAGCATCAGCGAGTCCTCAAAGCGGAAATTATCGGGGAAAACAATGGTTCGGACTTTGCAGATTTTCGCTGCTTTTCTAGGTTTTATTTCACCACTGCATCTTTTTTCTTCTGGCTTTATTTCCATCGGCGATCAATTTTCCGTGCTATTCGCTTTCAATGACTGAATTGCTGTGACTAATTAATAAAGTTAGTCTCACAAAAGGAATTGGCTTTTTTCTCAGGGACTAGAACATGTATGAATTCAACGACGGAAGGGTGTACGTGATCCTATAAACTCTGAAGGCGGAATTCGCGGAAGAGGGTGAACTGGTGTCGACGTTTTCCCGGTAATCCTTTACCATGTTAGCTATCATTACAGGATTGTTTCGAAAACGGAGAACAAAAGAAGAAAAACGTACTTTAACACGTTGACGACAACGCGAGTTTTGGCTTTTTTGGCCACGTGGGACCGCGGCGATTTTGCGGGCGCGGCCGCCTCAGGTCGTTCAAGCAGATTTTGAGTGATAAATACATAAATAATGATCAATCAAAACCAGATCAGTAAATTGTAATGAGCACAACCTAACCAGGGGTACAGTAGTGGAATTTCGATCGAAAGACATGGAATAACAATGAAAAAGCGAAATTTGTCAGAACTAGCTGCAATGGACCTCAAAAGCAATTTTACGTTGATTATTTCAATCAAAACACACATATTGTCTAAGGTTCCGTATCTACTTCTACTACTATTTAAATCTTCACATTCATAAAAAGAAAAAGTAAACGAAAAATTATTGAACTGAAGATTTCGTATGGTTCAGAAATCCTCCTCTAAATTAAAGCATACGTGACCATTCTATGGGCCACTATGTTTAGCTACGTCAAGGTCTCTTCCATGGAATGAATACAAGAAACTTCTAAAAGAATCAGGCGTGCGCGAAAAAAAAAATGAGTGTAATGGTGCGAGGGTTGCGGGGGGATATCCTTCTATTATTATAAAGCGCTAACTTTGTGTGTCGGTTTGTGTATCTGTATGTGTGTGTGTGAGTGTGTGTGTGTGCGTGTGTATGTATGTATGTGTGTCCGTCCGCAAAATGAAGTGAGTGAGAAGGAAGCTCATGGGATAAACAAACCGCTAAC